AAATGTAAACTTTACAAGGCCTTTATTGTTCCATATTTTAGATATTGCTCAGCAGTTTGGCACTTTTGCGGGGCTCGAAAGGGAAATAAATTAGAGCATCTGAACAAAAGGGCGCTCAAAGTCTCTGCACTACCAGGAGCTACTGAGCAAAATTAATTCAAGTGATCTGTATAGTATTAGGTGCCAAGACATGATGAAAATAGCTTTTAAGACAATTCAGTTCGAAACGATGCCGAAGTACATACAAGTTCTTTTTTTCAAATGAGGAGTACTGAATACTACCTACGAGGATCAAGGAAACTAGTTATCCCATATGTCAATACAACCACTTATGGTCTTCACTCCCTCAGATAAAATTCTGCAAACATGTGGAACAAACTAACAGAGGACCTGAGGTCACTGACGTCGTTGAATGAGTTTAGAACTAAGATATGTCAAATTTCTTTCGAACATTAAATTTCCTTTGAACATAAATGCGATTCTCACTTATGTAAATAGTAGTGTAATGTACTGTATATAATATACGATTCTATTTGTTTTTATATGTTTTATTTACTTACTTCAATATTTATTTACTTAATTTTTTCCTTTTCTCTTTCTCGGAGAATTTAGCTCTACAGCTACTCCTGTAAATCCGAGGTGAAATAAAGGTGATGTATGTGTGTATGTATGTATGTATGCATGCATGCATGCATGTATGTATGTATGTACGTATGTATTAGTTGCTTACCTCTTCAGCTGCACTTGTGCACCACAATTCTCTGAACTATGAGTTCCCAGCTGAAACTCTCATCTACGCCAGGTAACAATGCTTGAGAACTGTTGGTTGTGTTACAGAAAGCTCAAGGAATTTAGAGAGGTCTAGCTAGGAAAAAGAATCTTATGTCAAACAAACCACACGAAGAGTTCTATTTTATTCTGTATGTATGTAGGTAGGTAGGTAGGTAGGTAGGTATGTATGTATGTATAAACCCATGACCTCTACGATACCGGTGCAGTGCTCTACAAACTGAGCTAACAAGCCAACTGGGAGCTGGTCATTATGTAGGTTCGTGATAAACCCGTGAAGTGATGAATGAACGTTTGTGAATATATGAAAGTCATATGTTGAACTGTGGTTAAAGAACGAGTATGAGAGCGATCTTCGCAGTAACAAACACTGCTTAAGCAGTAGTGAAAAACGAGGCCTGAAAAAAATTCAGTTCAGAAATAGTAGCCCTCCATAGAGAAGCCCTGGCCTCTTACCTCAGAAAGCGTAACAAGTTTCCGAGTGCTAAATCGAGCCTAACAATGTGTGACTATCTACTGGACACTTACATGTAAAAGTTGTGCAAAATCAGCCTGACAATACACTCTAGATGACCTTTCTAGAAGCATGGCAAAATGTGACAAACACTTTGTGCATCCTGCAAATACACATAGGTACAAATGAAAAGAACTTTGGTCTCACTTGAGCCACGAGGTACATTTCTTTGGACATGGTCAAAGAAAGACTAGTTAGATAATGAATCACTGATGTTCCAGTGAATCTCAGTTTTCATCATAAAGGGAGCAAAGCATTCCTCAACAATTCTTCGCCCTCCACATCAACTAGTTGTCGCCATCACATCTTCCACCAACAGTTTCATGACTGATTATTCTTTTCAGTTTATCGCGCTTCTTTTGGCATTAAAAAAGAATTCAAGACCAAAAATACAGGAGAGCAGTAAAGATTAAAAAAATAATTTTAATTTTAATTTAAACTGAAAACAAACAGATCCCTACCTCAAGAAGTTTCAATTAAAACAAGTATTCAGATTTCAAAAGCTGATTTGTCTCAAGCATTAAAATACTTCTTTTAAGACCTGACTGGAAACCATAACGTTTTTTCCAAACAAATACAGAAAAGATATGAGCTTCCCTTGCACAATTATGGCAATTCCTTTCCCCTTAGATACTCATTCAAGAAACTTTAAGAATTAACCATGAACACCTCGGGCTCCTCACTTCAACAAGGTCTAATCCAAACCAGGGTTTAACGCAATCAGTGGACCTCAAACTTTCTCTACAAGAGGGTCGATTGAATTAAACAAATTTCCTCCCACAATTAGCTTTGGCCCTCTTGACACTGATCCCAAAACTGAACGTCCAAAATCAAATGTTCATAAATTAAATGTTCAAATAAAAGATTCAGCTAGAACTTGATAAGGATTGTTTAGGACGCGGCTTTGCTAAACAACGGCAAAACTTCAGTTTATAGGAAAACGGTTAATTTGTTATAATCGACTGGACCAATTATCTTACAAAATAAGATTTGCAAGCCAACAGTTAAGCTCTCTTGTATGTCCAGCAATATTTATGATGGTCAAGGTTTTCTGAGCTTCACAGTAACAGCTTTTCAAGAAATATTTGAACATCGTTACTACCTGTCAATTACTGACTTTTTAAGATATACATATTTTAAAAAAAATTAGTTGCTTACCTCTTCAGCAGCACTTGTGCACCACGATTCTCTGAACTATGAGTTCCCAGCTGAAACTCTCATCTACGCCAGGTAACAATGCTTGAGAACTGTTGGTTGTGTTACAGAAAGCTCAAGGAATTTAGAGAGTTCTAGCTAGGAAAAAGAATCTTATGTCAAACAAACCACACGAAGAATTCTGTCTTATACGTTATTTGGAGGAAAACAATCCAAAGTTTGCTTAGCAAGGAACATTTGAACAACTTCGTCAATCTGCTGCCCAACATCTTGGTACAAACTGAAAACTGATAGAAATGTTGGAGAATGGAAGCACACGACCTTTATGACAGACGCCTTATTTTAAAAAAACTCTTACCTCGCAACAATGCATAAGGCCACCATCAGGCTTTCTCCAGCTCTCCTCCTCCCTTTGTGCGCTTTTTTGACACTCTTTTCTTTCAATTTCCAAATCAAACACTTCTTTCTCCTCTTTCCGCTATTCCACTTCAAGCAGGAAATTGTCACGCAACTCCAATGAATTCCTTTCGTAGTTTTATATGTTCATCTTCAGTAATCTTGATCATTCATTCCTGCATATGTAACCAAGCATTGCAGATCTTTCGGATCTTGTGATATCCATCAAATTAGAGCTCACTGCTGAACCCTGAATGATAAGTCAATTGATTTGCAAAGAAAGAAGAGCCCACCTTGTGGTACTTGAGGAGCTCTTGTAAAAAGAGCAAAGTCACTTGTTAAGAAAATTAAGAGTAAATATGAATTTAAGTAACTGTCTGAGCTAGCATTAGCTCCAAAATAACTGGATGAGGGTCCACGTAGAGGTCCAGAATCAACATAGAATAAATGATTCTATGGAATCCGTTACTGTTTACCAGTGTTTGAAGACGATACTACTTGTTCGGCAGAACATTTCACGGCAATGTCTTCTTTTCCATTCATATCGTACAAATAAATTAATTACTTAAATATTAAAATATGAAAGTACAAGAAATAGTGAAGGCATATTTAACTTATGGCGGCTGAAAACAATTTTTTCCTATCCCACCAAAATGCTTTGACCTTTCTTTCCTTGAAAAAGGCATTGAATAAACATTCAGTGAAATCCCTAGACAAATAGTGATCACTTTTCGAAAAAATCCTTACAATTATTATACTGACAGTACCATCAGTCTCCTTTAACTTTAGCAAGGCTGTCACCTGGTTTGGAAGCAGAGGGCCATTAAGAAATAGTGGACAGTGAAGTTATTGTGGATGCCATCGTGTTTTGTCCGCAGGGAAAACAGAAAACTAACCACAACCCAAGAAGTTGGCATGAACCTTCACAAAGAATCTACACGGGGTATTATTTCCCGCATTTGAACCTGTTACTAGTGAATTATGCATAAGATCCATAGCACCTGTGCGGATTTCTCTGATGGTATTTCAATAATAGTATAAATTTTCATTAGCACTTAAAAGATTAAAAGATCAAGATTAAAAGTAGCTGGCTAGCCAGCGGTTTCAGTCAGCTAGCGGCTCTTATTGACAGCTCTGCTTCAGCTTTATGTGCTTATGACTCAAAAACCAGTTTTGTGACCCAAATTTTTAACTATTACCACTGCAAAGGAGGAGCCCTGTTCAAAATTCCATAATCTAGCTGGAACTTAAAACTACCATTATTTCCGGTTACTGAGAACAAATATAACCTATAAATTCAACATGGGCATACACTTGATCTTAATTATCCTTTGTAGTTTTACGTTCCTTTATAAATACTTTTCCTAAATAAGCTCTCTTTTTTCTTGAGAAACATATCCTTTGTATGAAATGTATAAATGATGAAGTAAAATTAAACAATTACTTTGGTAAAACAATAGAAGCCGGCCAAGTGAGTTTCACAAGATTACATAATTAATCAAATCCTTGCTTTGCACTTGAGTGATTCACATTCAAAGAGACCAACACGTTGGCCTTCACCATTTTAAAGGTGAACTGTGAGGCTACAGGCCTTGAGTATAACTAACTTGTGGGGACAAAGGTACTGAGACAAGCTGGGCAATGTAATCTGAAAAAAAACAATACATAGAAACTGTTAAGACATATATTACCTGTTTATGCATGGGTATCTTTTATGAACGACAGAGAAGATGGTCATGACAGATTTTTCAATGGTTTTGCTTCGCCTGTAATTTGAGTTTGAAGTGGACGGTCATAATTACAGAGACCAGTGACCATGGGAAATTGAAAGCTTAGGTAATAACAAAATGAAGTACTTCAGTTTGGCCATTCAGTGACGATGGGCGATTTCTGGAACTAGTTGTACCGTAACGAACTTACACATTGCGTTGAATCAGCCAGATAAGACACTGCAAGTGGATCTTGTGGGAGCATGGCAAAACCTGTAAACCACTAAATGTGTCCTACAAATACATATGAGCACAATTTAAAAAAAACATTGTTCTCACTTACAAATAGTTATCTTTGGTTCTTGGTAAAAAGTAACTAACGAAACAATGAATAACTAATATAATTTATTTTAAATTCAAGTCTTTGCACCTCCACTCGAAGAGGATAACCCCTGCACTCCAGGAAGTTATTTCTCTTTGCAATAACTGTACATTTTAATGCCGACAATGAGGAAGAGGAAAATAGAATGTCAACAAATGAATTTCATTTGATTGAACACCACATTTTCTCAAAGCTCATATTTACAGAGATCTGTGTCAGACAGTTTAGAGAATTCACATTTTGATCTTAGGAGTGAAACCATTTGACCCTGCAACTAAGGTGGATGATTAGATTTAGGATTACGTAGAGACAATTTCCCTACTCAACCCGCCAGAAAGGGACTATTAAACAGATACAGAAGACTTTAGAGATGGAGTTAAACTATACCTGATACTAAATTACAGGAGTTGGAGTAAGAGAAAAGAGAGTCAGCCGGAGAGCAACGATCTAATGTGTCGATCCTCTTCACTCAAAAATCATTGATCTTTGCTTTCTGACAACCAAGAAATTACCTGCATGCATAGGCAGCACTCATCATGGCCACTCTGTGGTCTACCCCTGCAAGGTCCACTGGAAGAAAGGCAAATTAAATAAAGTTAAAATAGAACTTAAAAAACATAAAAACGAGCCTCCAGTTACGGGTAAATTATTGCAAGATGACATCAATGTTACTGTTTGGGGTTGTACTGGTCAATTTGTACTGCTACAAACTAGAGCCTGTCATTACCAGCCAATGAGTAAAAATTTCAAACTTTTGATATGTTGGTCATTGTTGTATAATCATTGATTGGTGA